CTGGCTCCAATTTGCTTTGCAGTTTCCATAATAGCTGATATCTCCGTCTGGAAAACACTGCAGTGGTCAGTTAGCCTGAACGAGAGTTTAATTGGAATGCTTTTTGAGTAGACACCTCCGCCTACTTTCCCCTCAAGCTTTGACTCGTCCGTTTATATTTCCAGGCTATCCCTATCTGCATATTCTTCCCTTCTGGGGATTCTACATACGCCACATCGATTCGTATACTCTACTTCGATTACTTGTTTTTTTTTTTTTTTGTAATCTTCTGACTTGAATCTCAAACGTGTGCCTTGACAGCAGCAATCTCGCTTGCTTCTTTACTTCCATTCTTGTTTAAGGTATTTAAGATTCAAATCACAATGGTACTCATTTTATTAGCAGCAACTGTTAAATCATGTTCTTATGAGAACAGTTGTCTTGATTGGGCTTCTATCCCAGTGCAACAATACTGAAAAGTGATTTTGTCACCATCTTAATATTATTCGTATGATATATAACGAATGACAGCTAAGTGGGTCAAGAGGTAAAACTTAAAATGAAAATATTCAAATCCTGGTACGACCAACGTCAAAAATTCTACAAAATTAATTTATATAAAAATATTAGTTAAATTTTTTAATTGCGGTCGCACATCGGCAGGAAATGTCCACCACACCGATGGTATTTATGACATGAAATAAGAAGCTCCTCATAATAAATCATTAGCGGTTCGGAGCCGACTTAGTATAAACTGTAGGTCTCCGCCATTGGAGGAGGAGCTCGGCCGAAAAATTGCATCAGCGCTTACAAAGCGCCAATTATATATATACTCGTAAATATATATATATACATATATATTTCAAACTAATGCGGTATAAATTATGGTTGCTATCGCCATCATAAACCGTCGTTGTGTTAGACTAGTGTCATGACATAGCATAACAGTCATTTTAAGTACTTAACTGTCATTATTTACGGTGTAACTTTTACAGTCACTCATACGCCATGTGATTGCTGTCGTAAATGTTTTTTTTTTTTTTTCTTCAAATATTACATACTTCTAATGGACTGTAGAGTATGCATTAATTCATGCGGTTTTTTTTTCGAAAAATAAAAATTTTATTGTAAAAAAAATGATTTTAATCGTCTGGAAAAGGTTGTTTGATCAACTCCTAATACTTTTGCAAGTTCTTCGTGCGTCTGGCATGCATCAGCGTCGAGCAATGTATCAAATAATTCGTCTTGAAATTTTTTTTGGCTGTTCGTCATATATGTAGGTCGAATTGCCACATTTGAACCGTGCACACCACTTTTGGCACGTTCGTTTGGCTAAAGCATCGTCACCATAAACGTCCAGTAAAATACGATGGCTTTCGGTAGCACTTTTCTTCATGTTAAAGTAATGAAGAGGAGCTCCCCGCCAAACACTTTATCTGGTATAAATTTCGACATTTTCAAATGAATGAAACAAATTGTTGTTCACGCTAAAACAAATGACATCTACTGAAAACGACGTGAAATAACAATACCTTTGAAATGAATATAGCCACAGATGAACACGACGAGAATAGATAATACCCTCTCCTAGCAAACCCTCTCTTAGAAAACCGCACGGTATGCATTAACTCTATATATATATATATATACACCATGTGTCCCAAAAAGAATCGAACTTTTTGGATATAAAATAAAATACACACTATATTATCTTTGAAAGTTATTATTTATTCAAAATAGATTCCATTTGACTCAACACAACGTTTGGAACGATCAACCAGCGCATGCATAGTTTTTTTTAAGTCGTTTACAGAAATGTTTTTCAGTACCTCGATTACGGCTGCTTGAATGGCTGGGATATCATCATAAAATGCTCCATTCATCTTGGTTTTTAGTTTTGGAAATAAAAAATAGTCACATGGTGATAGATCAGGCGAATGCGTAGGATGGTCGATGAGAGAAATCCCTTTTTTCATTAAAAATTCAAATCGCGCTCAGACCTTTCTTTTCCCCAAATCTTCAGTTAAAATTCTCCAAATAGTGTTCTTACTCGTATTCGATTCCTCAGCCAACATTCTCGTAGTAAAATTTGAATCGATACCAACGATTTCACGGAGTTTTTCCACCAGTTCAGCACGATTACTAGTTTCTGGACGTCCTGCTCTAGGGTCGTCATTTAAATCCTCACGACCATTTTTAAATCGTGTAAACCACGTATAAACTTGCGTACAACTCATACAATCATCACAATAAACTTTTTTCATTAATTTTTTTTCAAGTTTGACACAAAATTTTATATTTGCTCTTTGTTCCATTTTATTTTTGAACCATTAGCACATTTTTGGTTTTATTGTAATGGTTGTCACTTTTACATCTGTCTTCCGACTTTCATGATATTAGGTGCGTTTGAAAGAGGATGAATGTATCTTTTTAATGTTGCAAATTTTCAATAGATGGCGCTGTATGTTGTATGATTTAAATATAAAGTTCGGTTATTTTTGGGACACCCCGTGTTTTTATGTTTTATCAATCTTTTTTCTTTTTCCGAAATCTAAAATAATTTTATTCACAATTTTTTTTGCAATTTTACATTGAAATGCTAAAACCATAATTTAAATAGTACTTGCATACGTATACTTGCATAAGTTTACATGTGTCTCAAGTAGTATTTTTACAGTTGAAGTTGAAAAAAGATATTTTCAGCTCAATGGTTAGATTATAGTATGTTTTTATTGTGATAAATTAAAAATTATAAAATTGTAGATATTATTGCATATTTCTCTTTTTCTTTTTGCAAAATGCCCTTAACATAATTTATTATACATATATGTGTGATGTACTCTGTTACGCTCCGCTGTTAGACATACTCAATGAATATATGAAAAAAGAAACATTGCATATTTTTTCATCAAAGTTTTCTGTACTCAAAACAACATTTTCGGCTTTATTATCAGCCACCCAAATACAAACGATACCTGGTAGTCAATTGTCCGTGCGCCAGGCAATCCGCGTTTTAATGTGGACCACACAATTCCACAGATTGACTCTGAGCTTTGTTGATAGTGATGGCAAACTCTGGTCGAACAGAGATTTGAGGTCGCTTGAATTGAAAGGGAGTATCGGAGGGAATGTTTTGGATTCGAGGAATGATTACGTAATTCTAAAGCTTAATATGAGCGCTGCCGCATGTCCGAAGAATTCAAAAATTCTCCTCAACGGTGACTATTAACATATATGTATGTGACGCATTCGCTTTCAATGTTGGACTGAATCGTGTGGTTGAGATCGAAGACATCTCGGATGGACTACTCAGTCGCCCTTGGTTCCTCCCTATAATTGATTTATGATATGATTGGATGTTAGGGAGCTATCGGGTAATGTAATTCGTTCGGAAGTCCCATCAATTGGCATTTTGGCGTTCGCCATTCCAAGTAAATGACATGAAAATACATCGGCCGATTGATAATTTTGCAGGTTGACACACGATTTGGTGGTCAATTATAGGATTTCAACATGACGCCACAACGTTGATTTTTTCAATAAGGCAAGTCTTGCCTACGTCCGCTGGCGTTTATCGAGGAATGACAGGCGGTATTGCTGTATAAAAAGGTCAGTTGATCGGTAACATTTTGTGAAAAGCGCATCTTTACAAACGAACGTAAGACTTTCATGTATATAAGCAGATTGAACTATATAATTATTTGTATGTATGAGTCATATCTTCACTGCTTAAAGTTTTTCACGAAATTGCAAATATGAATGCCTCGAAGTATCATTCGGATCTATGGTAACTCACACTGAAATCAAACCCATAACCGCCGCTGATTCCTTGCTGTAGAGAAAGTATTTGTTCGAGTAAATCGAAATTAGTTCTAGGTCTCCAGTCTATTTTATGACAACAAAAGTAAGACCTCTGCATTATCGTTCTCCATTTTAAATATCGCTACGGCAAGTGACTATTTCTTGATATTCTTAAGAGTTGTGTCTTTCTTAGGGCACATTGCGACGTATTGTGACACCTGTGTCCATACAAAGTCCAGCTCAAACAACAACTAAAGTCAGCTGACCATTCATGACAGCGTACATATGTACGATTGGGTGCTTGAACAACAGACAGTGGACGATGAGGCTCATTTCTCAATGGGGGGAAACGTAAATAAGTGAACCTATCCCATTTGGGGTTCCGAGAATTCTCAAATAATTGGAAAGAGGTTATCACAACTATCAAATTCAGTAGATCCAACGTATGCCTTGCATGTGGAGAGTCTCCACACGACACTAACCACCTCTTCACATGCCTCCTTAAGCCAACCATCTAACCCCCCTCATCCTCTGGTCCAAGCCCGTCAAAATAGCATGTTTCCTGGACAACCCATTAGATGATCTCAGCGACTTTGATTGATTAAACCTGTCCCTAAGCGGGGCTAGTTAGCCGCTACAACAATAACAACAACAAAAAGAACAACAACACCTAAACAATATGTGATTTCAACTAAATGGTACAACATGCTACACAACACGAGAGAATATGGATTTATTGCGAGAGAAATTTCCCAGCCGCGTCATATCTCCTCTTAGCATAGTCAATTGGCCATCGGCATCGCACGATTTGATACCGTTGGCCTTTTTATTTTGTAGGGCTACCCGAAAGACCGCGCTTCAGCGGACAAACCTCTAACTCTGGAACACTTGAAAACCAACATTCGTCAAGTAATGGCTGAGATACTGTGCCAAAAAGCGGTCGAAATTTACATCAAACGCATAGAAGTTCATAAAAATTCGCGAGGTGGCCATTTTAATTTTTTTAAGTTCACATTTGATAATAAAAAAAAAATTTCATGAAAACTTATTTTAAATACATATACATATGCATTTACTTTTATTTTCGACTATGAGTTATGAACCGCAACAACGTGAGATTTGGTCCTTCTACCTTAAATATGTGTACATACTTTTTGAAATAATGTCTAAGAAAGCAATTCAACCTTTAACGACAAATATTTTAATTATTTTGTTTTCAGGAGTCAACCGCATGGAAGACACTAACCTCACATCCAAATTCCTTGGTGCAACTCTTTCCGTCACGTGCGATGCGCGTCGTGCAAGAGGTGGTCAGATCTCTGCGTGTAAGTACAAAACAAAAAAAAAACAGAAAAAAAAACAAAAAAAAAAACAAAAAAAAAACAAAAAACGCTAAATAAATTTCAAAAGCTAACTTCATTAAATTTCAAAAGCTAACTAAATCAACCGCAAACTAACGTTATCGGACATAACCAGTTCTGCGCCGACCATTAAAGCATTCTAACCGCAACAGTGACCTTCGCAACAGAATATCGGTGGCAAAAAAGTCGTCCTACAGCGAATATTTGAGTGAAAAAATCCGACGTTTTTCGCTAAACTGCTCGTTGTGGTATGGATGTATGCATGTACATACGTGTATGTCTGTAGTAAAACTGCAGCCGCCCAAACTTCAAGTCATGCAAGTTGTTGTTTAGTGGGCATTAGAAAATAATTTACTGCGTCGTCGAGAGTTGATTATTTCTTGTTACTTCTTGACACACTTGTCGATTCTGAAAGCGAAACTTAATTTTTTTAAATATACTATATTTACATACCTACGTGTATGTATGTAAGTATCTGCCTGCAACGTTCAGGTGTGACGGCAGTTAAATTTGACATTTTGAGTACAAAAATTTACAATCTAGGTGCAATTACTTAGACATTATAATTATTTGCAATTTCCATTGTCTGCGTCTGTACTTCAGTGTCTGTTTGTGAGTCCAGTGAAGCATTTCAACTTTATTGGACTCTTGTTTTAGGGCCGTAATTGCTGTGGTATCGTACGAATGCTTGCGGTACTCTTTGTGCGTGGATTTTGATTGATTAATTGATGGGGTTGGCGGAGTCGTTGGTTAATGGCTTGAAACAATAGGTTTGCACACAATTCACAGTATTTGCACGTAATAATTCTTCGTGTACAGAAAACAGTTCTTTAATGAAGGCCCTACTCAATATGCTATCCCATAAGCTGACTTCAGGGGGCTTGAGGGATTAATGTATATTTTCAATTTATTTTCTACAAGACTTCTTCTGAAATGAAAGAATTTAGTGATTTGGTGGAAAGATCTTGGAATAACTTATGAGTTTCGAATTGAGTATTTGATGATAGCTATCTGTGAGCTTTGGTTTTAACTCAGTTGTAATCAGAGCAGCAAGTTTCTAATGCAGCCTTGGCCGAAAGTGTTAGGCAATCCACTAATTACTGAATTTTCTATTTTAACATTTTATTATCATAGTAAAACAGTGAAAATACAATGAATTGGAGTTAATAACCAGTATATATGTAAGTAAATGAGAATATTTAGTAGGTCCACTCTTCGATTTAACAACGGCAGCAATTCTCTTAGGCATGCTGCGTACAAGCTTTGCACATTCGTCCGCACTTATAGCGTACCACACGTTAATTAAGACATTCTTTAAGGCAGTTTTTGATGTTATACTGTGTTCCTTAATCTTGTGTCTTAAAATAGCCCACATGTGCTAAATGGGACTAAGGTCTAGAGACTGTGCAGGCCAATCTAACACAACAATGTTATTATCTCTAAACCAACGCATCGTAGTCGCTGAGTTGTGACAAGGAGCATTGTCCTGCTGAAATTGAACTCCGTCTAAACTAGTTTCGCCGAAAATGAGCGTTAACGAAGGCAAAAGAACAGCTTCTAATATATTTATGTACTTTTGACTGTCCATGCGACCCTCGCAAACGAACATTTCATCGACACCATCAGCAGCCATGTAGCCCCAGATCATAATGCAGCCTCCGTCATGCTTATCAATCTGGATGATATTCTTCTCCAACCCCTCGCCTCACGAACGTCACACCAGGTGTGCCAAATATCTGTAGAAAAGAAAAAATAATGTTTTCATGATATGTATTATGTCTTCAAAATTACCCTATGGTAAGAAGCTCAGGCTGTTAATACTTTAACATTAACAACAGAACATTCGAGCATTCTTCTTCCGTGGAATGTTGGTATCGGCGAGCCCATTCCAAACGATTTTTCCTATTCTTTTCTGAGCCATGGCTTCTTTTAGGCTTTACATCCTTTTAAACCTGCTTCCAGAAGTCTTCTTCTAGCTGTTCGAGCACTAAATGGTTTACTAAGTTCATCCGAAAGTGCAGCTGCAAGGGCGGAAGAATATTTTTTGCGATCCTTGAGAGACTCGCGTATAAGTAATCGGTCTTCTCGTTTACTAGTTACACGCTTTCTTCCACTTTTTGATTTATTATTGTGGGATTTCGTCTCCACAAATCGCGTGATAGCACATTGGACCGCGCATCGCGAACATCCCACCAAATTGGCAATCTCAGCCTGAGACTTACCTTCTTCACTTAGAACTTCAATTCTAACTCTATCATCGTAACTATTGTAATTTCACTTTTTTTAGGCACTTCGGTAAATATGAACTGTTTTTATAAGATTGGTAACTTTTCTCTGAATCTAATTTATTGGTGCCTAATACTTTTGGCCAAGACTGTATATCGCTGTATACTCAAAACACTCTTGCTACCTATTATAGTCTCTCGGAATACGCAAATTTTTTTTTAAATGCCCACGTTTCTTTTGGCGGCTACAATATCCGACTGGTAAGCATTACTTACTGCCCTTCTGAAGGCCAGGGCTCGAGATATGTTTCGACCAACATCCAAAATTATAGAAAATTAATTTTTCTAATTACGATCGCCACGCAGTTGGGAGAGCCAAACACTTCGGGTATATTTCTAACATCCTCACTTTACTTCAAGGATATTTTAAAATTGTATCAAAGAAAATGAGTATGGTTTACTTTTTCATTCGAGCGAAATTTCTCGTCGGCTCGAGCTAAATCCAACCAATACGGTGGATATGGGAACAATTCGGGCAGTTTTGCTACTGTTTTGAAGAAACCAAATTTTTTCTCAAAATACCGACGCCATAACCTTTGCAGTCAATTGTTGTGCTCTCGAGCGCTTTGAATTGATGAGCTGTCCACTCACGTTCTTATGATAATTTACGATTTTATCTAACTCAAGTTACCGCCTCATGTACGATCAAGATCTGTGTCAATTTCGAAGTCAGTAAACCAACGTTTAAATTTTTTTTTTCTGATGGAGCGGAGCTCTTAAAGCGATTTCTAAGTGATTGTTGTAAGATTAAAATACAAAACTGTTTTAAAAAATATAAAAATAGTGACTCAATAACTAACGAACTCATGCATAGAATTACAAGACAGTGATGCTGACATTGTGCTTGGTGTTAATCTGGTTCCAAGAAAGTCGAAGTTACCTTCGACTTCTACGGATATACCAAATTGAGAGATAGCGACGCAAAGGCTGATTCTTTTTGAGCTGTCGAAAGCGTGGTATGCGTTGATCTTCTTTTCACAGATATTCTATAGATTGGGCGATGAATATCAATAGTGAAGGTTTAAAGTCAAAGTAATAACATCCAAACAGTTTGTTGATGGTTATCCAACGGTAAGTGGCGCAGACTATGGGGTACCCTTTTTGTGGATTGAGTAAAACACACTTAACGTCCAAATCCTCGGACATGGTTCCATCCGATATATCCTGCACCAAAATTGATGCGAATTCGCCGCCATGTTTGAATAACTCTGCCGTTAAGTCATCCATTTGCTGTTCTTAAAGCGAAAATCGTTAATCAAACATCGTTATAGTCGAATAATAGAATGTTCATCATTATCGCTTGGGATTTTGGGTCCAGGTATTCCGTGATTACTGCCTTCCAGCAGGCTGGTGATGTGTTCCCGCTATAAGTTCTGTGTACACTAGACATTAGACCCTAGATCAGATCTCTGGGTGAGGGAATTTTTAGTATAACTCCTATTGACCAACTTCTCAAGCTCTCTCGCACCTCAGCCCCTTTCTTCTTTTGACTTCCTTCTCTCTTCAATTCTGGGATGTATTTCATTCCGCACATCCAGTAATCGATCGAAATGTTGCGAGGTAAGGAGCATTTTTACTCTGCACTACCGCACGAAAACTCGTATCCAACCAGCTGCCGTCCTACAGTTCCCTTAAGTGTTCCCAAAGAGCGGTAGTGCAAGTAGTTTTCGTTCGTTGCATTTACTGGCGGATGTTCTTTGTTGCACAGAGCACGTGCGTATCGTTACTGCTACAAGATAATGGTCGAAGTCGATGTTGGTTCCTTGGAGTGTACGTACGCACGTCAAGAACACTGGCGTAGTCGTTCAGCGTTTCGTCGTGGATGATTCCGATAGTTGTGCCGAAGATATCCTGGCGTTACTTCTCTACAAGAAGCGAGTAATTGTAATTTTCTGAAAGCATATCTTAATAAATAATTATTTATTCTAATATATTTGTAATAATGTGGCAATGGGGAAGGTTAAACTAAGCATGTGTACGTAAATACGTGTGTTTAAATATGCACAAATTGACACCCATCTGCACATACATATAAATATACACATTTGCAATGAAAAGAACAAATCTTTGAAAATAACTGAACACGTGCACATCATTGGCATCGTTTGCCAAAATTATTTTTCAAGTTGCAAGTTTAAAAAGCGACTGCAATTACAAGCATTTGGTGCACTCCCAGACAGGTGTCAGTTGAGAGTACCCTGCAGGGGAAAATACTAGTTATCAACTAGAATTCAACTAGTTTACAGTTTTACACCAACTAGTGCATCATCATCCATTTTCCATATAATCAACTGGTATTTTTAACACGGCGATGTCCTACGAGCTGACAATTGTCCTATTATGCATCAACTTCATACTAGTTTAATACCAGCTCATTTCGGCATGTTGAATTTTTACTTCACAAAAAAAAAATTAAATAAAACAAATACAGTTTGCCGGCTTCGAGAATCGAACGGAGAACCTCATGCACTACAATAAAGACCTCTAACCACCAGACTATCGTTATGATATACGGAGGAACGAAATCTGTGCACTTCAACAGAACTTTTAAGGAAATGAAACTCAGCTATGCAATACTAAAAACAAAAAAAATTTCTGTTTCACCAAATATTGAAAAAAATAAAATTTAAAAATTAATTAACCTCTAATCACTCGACTATCATGATAATGCAACGATTAATATCATTTTGCGCACTTCAATAGAACAGAGCAGAAAATGGAATTCAGCCGCGGTCTGCCGATATAACAAAAACAAACAGTGGTGAAAGTTGTTATTTCTCCCGTAACTGGTGGATTTTTTTACAAATAACGAACTGGTATGATTTCATCTTCAAAATACTAGTATTTAACTGGAAATTTTACATACTAGTTGGTTTTCCCCTGAAGGGTATATATTGTACAAGAGCTGGAGATGACTTAAAAAAAGTATATATATAAATAATTGGCGCTTTGTAGCCGCTAAAGCGATTTTTGGGCCGAGCTCCTCTTCCAATTTATGGTTTTGCGTCTTGATGCTTTCCCAACAAATGGAGGGACCTACAATTTATACTAGGCCGTCTCCTAACGGCTGATGGTTTTTATGAGCAGCCCGTATTTCATGCCCGAAATACACTCGGAGGTGTATAGTCCCTGCCGAGGGGCAACCGAAATTAGAAAATTTAACATATTTTTTTTATTTAAATTAATTTTCCATAACATTTGGATGTTGGTCGTACCGGGATATGAGTACGGCCTTTCCGAATGTCAGTACGCAACGCTAACCACTCGGCTACCGCGGCCGCCATTATTAAATTCTATTCTAAACTCCCTTCTAATTAATTATATTTCAGAAGGACACAAATGTCGTAATTGAAACAACTTTGGGTAAAATACGCGGTCGTTTCCAAAAGTATAGATCCGGTGAACGTGGAGGGTATTACAGTTTCAAGGGTATACGCTATGGCGAAGCGCCGGTAGGTGCCAGGAGGTAAATATTTTCATTAGAACCTCCTAACATTGCATATGTACATATATATTTATAAATAAATACTATTTCTATGCAATTTAAGATTCCGCGCCGCTGAACCAGAAAAGCCCTGGTTTGGTATACGAGACGCATCGCGTGAGGGCAACAGCTGCCCGCATAAAAATATGATACTGGATACATTTAAAGGCAGCGAGGACTGCCTATTCCTAAATGTCTTCACCACACAAATACCCAAAGCGGATGAGTGAGTGCGCTCAAGTCTATGATTATCGCTAAATCTCGTTGATTTTGATGAACATACACACTATATATATACATTTATATTCAAATAATATTTCTATTAATCAATCTTCCCACTGCAGCGAACTGCTGTTGCCTGTTATGGTTTGGCTGCATGGTGGCGGCTACTCATTCGGTTCCGGCAACACGTTTCTATACGGGCCTGATTACTTGGTGGCTGAGGATATTGTGCTGGTTACACTTAATTATCGTTTAGGTCCATTGGGATTTCTAACAGCTGGTCCAGATGCGCCGGGCAATCAGGGTTTAAAGGTTATTCTAATGATAATAAGAGATAATTGTTATGTAATGTTAAAATTTATATTTTATACTATCTCCAGGATCAAATACTTGCCTTGAAATGGGTGCGTGACAATATCGCTGCCTTCGGTGGTAACCCGAAACAGGTAACGTTATTCGGCGAATCAGCTGGCGCCTCATCAGTGCAAATGTTACTCCTGTCACCGCTTGCCGAAGGTCTTTTTCATCGCGCCATCTCACAAAGTGGTTCAGCACTAAATCCTTGGTCTATGGCTGAGAGCTCGTCAGAGCGTGCGTTTCGCTTAGCCGCCAATCTCGGTTATTTGGGCGCCAATGATACCGAAGAGATATTGGAGTTCTTGAGACGTGTACCTGCTATGAAATTGGTGGAGGCAGCACCAACGACACTCACGGTAGACGATTCGCGCAATAATATAGGCTTGCCATTCGTGCCGGTGGTGGAAGGCTATTGGAATGCACGTGGCGAACGTGAAATATACTATGAGGAGCCCTTCATGACACAACATCCCAACGAGATGTACCAGCAACACAAGTTCCACAGTAACGTACCATACATAACCGGCTACAATACACACGAAGCCATGCTCTTCATACGAAGTGAGTGATAGAATATAAAAATTTAAAATACATATACAACAACTAAATATTTGTCCTCATTTTTTCTAGGGTTACGCAAGAATCCAAAATTACTGGAAATAATTGAAAACGACTTTTCACGTATGATACCACGTGATCTGAATGTTACAGGCGCAAGTGAGCGTGTTACGCGGGATATACGTCAATTCTATTTGGGTACTAAGCAAGTAGGCGTGGACTCCGTGGACGAAATGATTGCTGTAAGTCAACAATTTTGAGTTAGTTGTTTTCAGAGGAGAGTTGTAATCCATTTTGTGATTCTCTTAGTTCTATTCTCCTTTTCTCTAAGATAAAAACGCTAACTGGGCATGTTAGCTTAAGAATTGTCGTTGAACTGGCAGGATAGGGATGGATATGAGGAGTGTAAAAAGATGGTGATGCTTAGTCGCCAATCTAGATATTAATATATCCAACAGGTTAAATATCAACAGTGAGCTGTGGTTTCTAGTAGTACGAAGACACGAAAAATAAAATTTTGTACGACAATTTTATACTGAATGAAATCAGTGGACAGTAGAAACACACCCACGAGCTAATTGCAACGTCTTATAGACGGGCTTCAAAGGTCAGGAGTGGAGTCAATTACCCCCACTCTCTCTGGGAGTGCAGACACAAAGTATGAACTCACTCCTATGACCAGCATAATTTTTGTACAGCTGATGTCTGAAGATAATAATAGGGTTAAGTTAGATCTATACAGACTTTACCAAATCTTACCCTTTAATTAGGCTTAACAAGCTGGCGAAACCACATCCAAAAATTAAGGCCGAATCATAGAGATGGGCGCAGTTCATTAGAGTTCTCGCACTAACCACCTGTTTGAATGTGCACTGAAACCAACTCATCCAACAGCCCTCTCCAACTTTTAGCACTGCTTCGACTGGCTCGTTTATTTGGCCAAATGACATCATCGAATTTTGCCTGCTCCTAGGCGGGGCTTAGCAAGAAACTACAACGGCAACATCTTAAAATCATCAGCATAATAAATCTGTAGTTAGAGGTGCTCCGAAAAAGTTTTAAGGCATTAATTTTGAAACTCTCCTGCATCGACCCTTATCCTAAAGACATGATGTCGGAAATTTTTTTCAACCGAATTTTTAGTGAGATAGTGTGCGCACAAGATTTAAATTCTTTCAGACTTGAGGTATAAGGTCTTTAGGACGCTAGTGATGCTGCGTACCTTAGAAAGGCGCCAAGCTATCGGATGATATCAATTTTTGGTAGATTTCTCAGCTTTATCATTCCGCCCGATAATAGCTAGAGAGCTTTTATGCGATCCTTTCTCTGTTGCTCTTTCATGGTTACTCTATCGCACCCATAAACTCCAGAACAACGTTTTCTTTAACATATTTGTACTTGATTTTACAGCTCTTGACGGATCTAATGTTCCTGCAGGGTATACGCAAGACAGCGCGAAATCACGCCAAATATGGCAATGCACCTGTATATATGTATCGTTTTTCGTACGACGGTGCGCTGGGCCTATATAAACGGATGTTGGGCATTAACAGACCAGGCGTTTGCCATGGCGATGAAATGGGTTATCTGTTTAAATTTGGTTTCTTCAACTTAAGTTTAGATCCGCGCTCAACCGAGGTGCTAGTGAAGAATCGCATGGTGCGCATGTGGACGAATTTCGCCAAATATGGGTAAGTGGCTAACAAAAAATACTATTTCTTTTTTGTTTCAATTATTTATAATTTATTTTATTTTTAGCAATCCCAGTCCGAAAAATGAGGAAGACACATTATTGACCACAAATTGGGAACCCATTGACCCACAAACTGTGATGGAAGATATCAATTATTTAGATATTTCACACAATTTGAGAATGCGCAGTAATCCAGAGACAGAACGACAACAATTTTGGGATTATATGTATGGGCATTTCAATGGTGCTGCGATGTAATGGATGCAGGTGCACACGAAATCCGAACTCACATGTCAACAAACATTTTCGAAATCTCGTTCATGCCATAAATTATAATTACAATTTAATCTCGTCACAAATCAACATTGAAAAAAAGTAAAACAAATATGAACTCGAACAAAATGTTTATAAAAAGTTCAAATTTAAATTTAAAACTAATCCGACTTTCCGCTTAATTTAACTTATCTCATTATGTAGACAAGAACAGCTTTTTCATTGCCAATTCGTTGCATCTTAAAAACATTAATTTAAATTTACTATTAGTTTTACGTTAGCGGTATTATTGTTTAGTTTAGTGCTAAGTCTTATTTCACAGCATTTCATTTGTTCAACGCATTTACAATATTTATACATATGTATGTAAGTATGATTTTTTTCATACTCATATCCAATATGTGGTTACACTTTGTGTTATTCTTTTGTACATAGTCAAATCCCTCTACTTGATGAGCACCATAATTTATCATTTTAAAGTTTAAGATTTTTTAAAAACACATAAATTGTTAAAAACTATGAAATGACAATACATACAAATCTTTTATATTTTACAATAAAAATAATGCCTTTATTTCTTGTCCTTTGTGGTAAGCGATGTTTCTACCTTGGAGTGGTGTAAATACATTTGTAATAAAAATATACTATCATCTATTGTCAGTTCGGCTTTAGATAGTGTCTTAATACGAGTTTTAACCTTTTCGAGAATCTCTCTCTCGGGTGGAGTCAGAGTTTCAAGTATCTGCATTGTAAAGAATTAGAGTTAAATACTTTTTAAATTTATTTTTTGAATCTACATACTTCCTCAATGTATTCTGCAGATTCACCGCGCTCCTTCATTGTTGCAACAATACTGTCCAGCTTTTGCGATTTCTCAATGAGTCGCTTATGTTCCGACTTTTCAAAATTCGAACGTTCGATAGTGTTATATAAAGCTTTATAGCAAACATTTAATATCATACGGACACTCTGTAAAAAAACAAACAATTTATTATATCCAATAAACAAATAATACAACAAATAAATAAAAAAAATAAAAAATATTACTTAATTCATTTTAGCATAGAAGTAAATAATAATAAAACCATAAAGTAAAATAAAATAAATTGAAAATTAAACAAAATAAAATGAGATGTAATAATAGAAGTTTAAATAGCTAAATAAATTAATATAAATAAGGATTTTAGAAAAAAAGTTACAATTTACAGCATAATGTAAAATACTATCATATAAATATATCTATTTATTAAATAGAACAAATAATTATTTTCACTTCTCTTACTAACCTGTCTAGGCTTGAAGTGAAACAAAAAGAAAGCTTTTGCCGGTCCTGTACCACCACCGCCTGCTTTCCTAATTGTTTTAATCTGTATAAATTGATCTTGAAACAAATAGTACGATAGCAATTTTGCCTCTCGTGCTGGTATCATTGCCTCTTTTTGCAATTCCTCTTGCTCAATGTATTTCTTCATATGTATTATACGAAATATACGTGATGCTTTTGAACCATAACGTTCTGTTATCACACTACCAAACCATGATAACGTCAACTCTTCAAAAGCATGATTCAAATCTACAACATATTGACCACCACCCATTTCACCGATTTTCCGTATAAAGCGTAAAGGATCATCAGCTGAAATTAAGATTTCATTAAAATGCTTTTTAGGGAGAAAATTTTAAATTTACGAACCTATCAGCGAAACGTACTGATCCAAATGCTTTATTAAATCCAGATTATTCGATTTCTTTTCAATTGTTTGTTTAATTTCAGCAAAAGTGAAAGGGTTCGAGCAATCCTGCCATGAAAACAAGAACTTAAAATATCAAATTTTTTTTACATTTAAAAATGTTTACCTTTTGCCATGGATCTGTACGCTCATACATTTGCTTGAGTATATATTTGAAACATTCACTTGCACTGGTTCCTAGTTTTCTCTCTATTGCACCAATCATTACGGTATCCCGAAAGTCTTGGTGAAAACGGCTGAAATTGGCATGCCAGTAAATACCCGCATCAGCAGCTTTTTCCACTTTCTCCTTACCCGCCTGCACTTCAGATATAAAATGCAGATTTATATCCGGTGGAGCAAAATATTGATAGGCGTCGGTTTGTAATTTGGGCACTGGGTCCTCCTCGGCAGATATCAATTGTGGCAAACGTATTAGATAATTATCACTAACCATAGCCAAAAAGTTTTCTCTATACGTTTCAATTTTTTCCTTGATTTCAGAATTAGCAATACATTTTAGGAGTACATTTGTTGCTGTCTGCGGACCGCTGTGGAGCAGTTCTTCAGCAATAGCAGCACCTACTGGACCATATTTTGAGTGTATCAACTGCACGTAGCTATGAAGTGTGCGTTGCATTAATATGAATTTAAAAGATATTGCCTTCTAACACTTACCTGGGATAGCGTAATATATAAAATATTTCTTCGCGTTTAAGCGAGTATTCCGCCAAGAAGGGATTTGTTGCACACGGTGCAAACACCACTAATTGATATTTTATTAGCACAGCTAATGCTGTTGAGACCTAATGTAAAGAAGAATTACTATTTTTATGAATTAAATATTTTACTAAGTACTGCTTTACCTCCTTTCGCGATAGATTTGTTTTCTTTAATATAGCCGGCAGCGTGCGTGAGACTGCACAGAATAAACAATCTGCCACGATCTGCACAGTCTCGCCAAACACTTGCTTGACTACCACGGAACAAAGATTTGCATACTCGATAGACATTATTTAACACCTTTAATAAATTTAATACATTTATTTAAACTTTTAATTGAAATGATGCTAAATAATGCGGAACTTTGAATTTCATTCAATAAAAAGTGTGCAACAAATGTTCGCGTAAAATCAGCTGTTTTGGTTGTTTTATCAGCTGTGCTGAGGTTGCCGTATCGTAGATAAGTATAATAAACAAAGAGGTACAATTATCACATCGGTACAATTACCTTATCTGCAACACTAAATTTGAAAAAGAAAGTCAATATCTGAAAACACGTTAACAGTGTAGGGTTCATAATTTTAGAGAACAGAAATTATTTATAAAAATATTCAAATTATTATTTTTTTTGGTTTTAGTCTAAGGACTATTCCATATTATTTATGTATGCGCTTATTAACATTGCCTTAGCAGTACTTAGGAAATCAGTATGTCGTGCATTGTCTATTGGTGGGATGGCTAAGGACCGCAACACACACGGCTGCACTTACATAAGTCATTGGCTAGGATTATACGTGCCAGTGAGCTGTTCGTTGGATTTAATAAATAATTATTTCGTCTAAATCAGTTGAAGTCCTCTCACAAAGGTTTCTTTGTCAACCCAATTGGTACAGGGTTTCGTCTGCTTTTATGCATTCACACCAGTTTTTAATGGCAATATCTCAGGGGTTGACGCTCTCTCAATAAACCACTAAGAGTACTAAGATTTTCGCTTAGTGGTCTGTTTGCCCTACGATGGAAGTGAATCAAGATTTTTAGTGTTCTTCTGGGGTTCAATGCTGTGGGCAAGATTCGAAGCAGTCTGAGGCAGTCGATAGCGACAGCACGCGGGTAGCCTACGACCACGTATTTTCTCGTGATAGTCTCTCAATTATTTCCTTGCATGTACTTACATATATAGACGATGCATTTAACTGATGGATGGGGTTATTGCCAAGAATTAAGGTTCATTATAATGATAACTGTTTGCCATTAAGTTTTAAAAATGAACTCGGTCATCGCTGCGGGTTTGAATAAATTTCAGCCGGCAGGCTCAATTTTTTGCACACCAAATATTGGTGAAAATCTTCTCTGGTTTATCTGCGTAGACAAGCGACTTTACATAATCTCACAATAAATAGTCTAGCGGTGTTAAATCGCACGAGCTTGGAGGTCACGCAACAGGCTCACGGTGCGAGATAAAGTGTTCACCAAATGTTTTGTTCAATATGTAATTGTTTCGTTGATAGTATGGCGTTTGGCGCCGTCTATTCGGAACCAAAGATTGTCCACATCAACATCATCCAATTAAGGCACGAAAAAGTCATTACTAATGGCGCTATAGCGGCCGCGGTAGCCGAGTGGTTCGCAATGCGTACTGCCATTCGGAAGACTCGGGTTCAATTCCTGGTGTCGTACTTACATCCAAGAAGTTATAGAAAATTAATTTCAAAACAAGATTAATCTAAATTTTCTTATTGCAGTCGCCCCTCGGCAGTGAATGTGAGCCCCTCGGTGTGTACTTATTTAATGCATAAAATAAAAGCTTCTCTTAAAAAACCATCAGCCGTTCGGAGGCGGCTTAGTATAAACTGTAGGTCCTTCCATTGTAGGAAAAACGTCAAGACGTAAATCCACAAGCTGGAGGGAGAGCTCGGTCGAAAAATCACTTCAGCGGTTACAAAGCGCCAATAATGCATATTTATAGAATTTCTCATTGACTGTAACATAGTAAGGGGCTTCGTTCTTGAAGAAATATGGAACCCATAGTGCTCTACCAATAGTAACTTGTGGATTATCATTACACCAAAAGCGACAGCTTTCTTTATTAACTACCAATTCAACCACAAGAGAGCTTCATCGTTGAACAAATTGGAGGAGGGTCAGATGGGCCGAAACGCATGTAATATTTCTGATTTGGAAAAGATATCATTTCAAGTCTTAAACGATATCCCAACGTATCGCAATATGTATGTATATACAATATATACCGATACCAAGGCTGGCAATAAAACGCTCCAATGCAATCATACCACCTTAAAGGTGGCAATATGTTGCAGAGAAATCTTAAACAATTCATCGATTATATCCGAAACGTTAGTGGTTAGGGACCCTGATCATAAAGACATCTCAGAGAACTGCGTGGCTGACGGGCAGAAAAGGAAGTGTCATGTCAACGGTAAACTCTGCACGTGACGTTGTCGTACCGTTTTCTTCGTTCTATTAAGGCTAATCTCAACCAGAAGTTCCAAAAGCAGATGGCAGAGCGAGACCACGGAAAATGTGATCAATAGCACATCTGGCCATCAATCGAAGAAGAGCAAAAACTTGTATTTCCGCCTTCTCAACGGTACCTCCATAAGCATAACATCCTGCGTAATAACCGGATACTATGGTATGGGGTCTCACGGTATAAGAATGATCTGCTTATCAAACGACTTTGCCGCAGCAGCAGGGATACAAATGAAGAGGAATCGCTGGATCATTACTTCCATTTGTTTAGTACTAAGCGCGGTCCCGGTCTTCGATTGTCTTGAAGAGTTTGCATCTGTTGGCTTCACTAATCTCCTGAGCTTCATTAAACACACCAAATGGTTGGAGCATCTGGAAAGGTGAATGGAAGCTCTTTCACAGACCTCATATAGGCGAGTAGGCCTAAATACGCTTGATCAGTGTTCAGGGATCTAGCAAACTCTTTAACTAACTAAATAACTATAGTGACGAAGAATGGACAAATGGAAAGAAAAAACTACTTTCTTGTGTTCAGAACAAAATGTAAATAGGTATATATATATTATAAATATATGTGACAAATTTGTCGGTCCATGAAAAATTTTTTAATTTACAAAAAATAAATATTATGCGCTTATCTCCTCCTCCGTTGTATTATTGATGTAAATAAAGTGATGAATTTTAAAAATGATGATTGAAAAAAACTGTTACATCAAATAGCAAATCAATCACAATCTCAAATGCGATAAGCAAATAAAATATATAAAACAAATATATATATTTTACATATATACATAAAAATATAATAATGACTATCGTCTTTAATGACGTATTAAGTGATTTCATAAATTTTTTTTGTACATAAAACAAAATTTTCATTCACCAACCAACCAATTATTAAAACGCTGACGATGCCAAAGCATTTCCAAACGCCACGCGCACAAAAACAACTCACGTTGTGGCTTAGGCAATATGTAGTAAGTTAATCAATTAAACCGTCATAGGCACTCAATGACATTTCAATAAATCAGAATTCAGCTATTTGCATAATCTCCGTTTATTTTGTAATTTGTTTAAAACAATTTATTGATAATTAAATTTAAATGAAAAAAAAAAAAATTCAAAACCACGTGTATGCGTCCTACGGGGTTAAAGTCACCATGTATTATTTTCGGTTGACTCAACACGGTATTAGACACACTTTTTAGATTTTATATATCTGCGGGATCACGGTGTGTAAATATTGAACAGATTTACCACCTCAAATGCGCAGAATAATATTTAATTAAACAATTTCTTAAAAAAATTTCCATTTTAAAATGAACAAAATTATTCAGCTTATACACAAACATACATGCGGACATATTTTATAAAAAATATTTGTATGTGTGTATGCACATTTGCCTATTTGTGAAAGACAAAAACTAAATGCCAGCACAACGGCGTATGGAGGAAATGCTTTAGCTTCGTTTGGTTGCCGAAAATCAAATGAAAGATTGTTCTGCCGTCTAGCAAGTGGTAACTGCTGGACGCTTACGCTGTTGAGCTGAAATTTTGAAAAATCGAAAAAACCTGAAATGAGATTGTGCGCAATGAATGCCTTCCGTTTCCAGTGCCGAAACCTGCTCGCTCACGCTTATGATTGAGCATTTTTCGATAGAGAGCGCACACTTGTGTGAACAACCAATTCCATTTCCAGCGTAAGCAGGTAGATTAGAGTCGGCGATGTGTCTTCCATTGGAGATTAGGTATTTAGTCCGCGTTTGCGATTTCTTCGTTATATTCGTTGTATGTCTAAATACATACGAATACACACATATCTCAAACTACTATTTCGTAGAAATTTAGAGAGTTGTTTTCAACTTTGCCTGGCTGGTACGAATACGCAGGTAGGTACTCCGAGTAACATTTTTGCTCTTCTTACCTGCCAGCAATTCCGAAATCTGCTGATGAGTTTCTTTAATTTTAAAATTTTATTGTGAGAATAATTGTAGGTTTGAAATTTCGAACTAAAGAAATATGTATGTATGCATGTAACTATTTTTGTATATATGTATGTATATATGTATGTATGCAAGCTGAATTCATTTAACAAGTTTCGAATCGTGATTTGAACGAAAAACAATTTTTTTACAACTTTTACATATGGGGTTGCCCTAAAAGAAACTGACGTTTTTTAAATGAAAGTAAATATATATTTTTTTTTTTTTAATTTTATAATGAACTTTAATCAATTGTGTAATTCCCATATTGTTGGATGACCTTTCGCCATCTTTCCGGCAACATAAATATTCCACGCTCATAGAACTTCTGGCCTTTCTCTGCAAAAAACTGAACCAAGCGCGATTTTATAGCCTCGTCGTTTCCGAAAGTTTTATTATTTAATGAGTTCTGCAGAGATCGGAAAGAATGGTGGTCTGACTATGCATGGTGGATGCATCAACAGTTCCCAGCTAAGCTCTCTCAGTTTATGGCGAGTGACCAAATACGAGGTGTGTTCAAAAAATATCGCGAATTTTGTGTTTTTTCAAAATTTTTTTATTTATTCATGAATATCTATTTTCTCCCCCTCAAAGTAATCTCCATGAGATATTATACACTTATGCCAACGGTTTTTCCAAACTTCGAAGCACTTCAAAAAATCATTTTTTTATCTTGTTCAGCTCCTCCTTCGATGCCGTCTTTATTTTGTCAATCGTAGCGTAACCTCGTCCTTTCATGGGCCTCTTCAGTTTAGGGAACAAGAAAAAGTCACAGGGGGCCAGATCTCATGATGCACTACGCCCCTGAAATTAATTTTTTCGTCTGTTGTTGAAGTGCTCGGGCGTCCGGCACGCTCTTCGTCGTTCACATCTTCTCAGCCTTCTGAGAACATTTTGTACCACCGATAAACGTCGCTTCGGTCCAAGGTAGCTTCTCCGTATGCCACAGTCAACATTCGGAATGCACCCGCGCACTTAATTTCGTTTTTCACACAAAATTTG